ATAAAGTATAAAAGTATACGGTATTATACAGCATAAAAGTGTACAGTATTATAAAGTATAAAAGTGTACGATGTTATACAGTATAAAAGTGTACAGTATTACACAGTATAAAAGTATATGGTATTATACAGTATAAAAATGTACGATATTGTACAGTATAAAATNGTAATATAAAGTATAAAAGTATACGGTATTATACAGCATAAAAGTGTACAGTATTATAAAGTATAAAAGTGTACGATGTTATACAGTATAAAAGTGTACAGTATTACACAGTATAAAAGTATATGGTATTATACAGTATAAAAATGTACGATATTGTACAGTATAAAATTATACAGTATTATTCAGTATAAAAGTATACGGTATTATTCGGTATAAAAGCATATGGTATTATAAAGTATAAAAACGTACAGTATTATACAGCATAAAGTATAAAAGTATACGGTATTATACAGCATAAAAGTATACAGTATTATGCAGCATAGAAGTGTACAGTATTATACAGTATAAAAGTGTACGATATTATACAATATAAAAGTATACGGTATAATACAGTATAAAAGTATACAGTATTATCCAGCACAAAATTGTACGCTATTACACAGTATAATACAACGTGAAATAGAATTCTGCAAAGACTAGTGGTCGCTGAAGTTTCGTCGCAATTCTACCGCAGCAGCGTTCACGCCGTACTTATTTAGTCTCGCACTCGCGCCGCGTCCGTTTCTTTCTGTCATTCTAACCTTGCCTCGCCGTTTCTTTCATCCTCATTTCGGCCACTGACAACGATTATTATTTACCATCGACTTCCGCCGATCGACGCCTCGCTTTGGCCGTCTTCGAGCATTAACAAAATTCCCATCGTTCGAATCGGTAAACAAACAACGAATCGGTTCTCTCGAAGCAATAAAATCGTTCGCTCGCTTCCTGCTTCGAGGCCAGACCGTAAACGGGTGAATCACGTTGCAGTTCGGTGCGTTTGTCGCCGAGATTCCGGATAAAGCACGATCGGGTCGAACGAGCGAGTTGAGGTGAACAGCCCCGCAGCTCTAACCCCGAAGAGAGTGCCGCGTATCGTCGTGCACTCCGCGTTCGAGAATCGACTGCGAGGTTCTGTTAAGGGGTTGAAAGAGTCCGGGGGATTGATAGAAACCGAAAGTGACAGAGAATCTAAACGCAGGAGAGCGCTGAATCTGCCGTTGGTCGAACGATCGAGCAACCGTTGGAAGAGCCACGATCCACGCAGGCCAGCCGAGAGAGGCTTGGGAGAGCCTTGGGAGAGAGATCAGGCTTTCGCGGAGGAATTCAGGTTCGCAGTAACGTGTGAAATGGTAATTCGAGACGCGGAAGGAAATTGCGGCGGGAGGAACAGGCACATACGGGGTGTTCTCGGCCGATCGTTATCTAATAATGAGAAAGAGCTTAGCGCCGCGCAGCGTTCTTTTCTCTCTCTCTCTCTCTCTCTCTCTCTCGCTCTCTTTCTCTCACTCCCCCTCCCCCTCTGATTTCGTGCAGAAACGGTTCCGCGGAGCCCGTGCCATTTCCAAGTAACAGAATCGCGAGCATCGATTCGACCAGAAACTAGATACGTACGATCATTCCCTGGCCGGGTGTGTTATAGCTCGCGTGTAGATAACAATACGACAATGGGCGCAGTTCGCGTCGTATATACGCGGAGGAACGGCGGCGGGGGAGCGGCGAGGGGACGGTCGCCAAGTGGTGGCGAGCGGTTCGATCCTATTTGATGCGATCCGATCTGATTCGATGCGATCCGATCCGATTCGATGCGATACGATACGATTCGGAATCGACCACGACGACGACTACGAAGCTAGACGGAGCTAGACGAAGCTAGGATTCTGTTCGAGTAGCCGGAGATTCTGGAAGGAACGCGAAAGAAACGGGACGAAGAAATCGCGGGATTCGGAACACCGCGATCGTCGTTCTCGTTAACCTACTTACTTTATTCACAGCATTCATTCATCCGCTTCGCGCGACGCGTATCCTACGCCTGTGTGTATGTGTAGGCTTGTGCAGGTGTGTGCAGGTGCACGGGGGTTAGGCGGGTGTGAAAGCGCGCGCGCGCGTGTGTGTGTGTGTGTGTGTGTGTGCGGGGTAGCTGGCGCGCGTGGACGTGTGTGCAGCCGTGCATCATTGCCAGTGCTTTTGCGCATTCTATACGGGACGGATCAAAAAGCGAGGCTTTATCGCGTTTCGCACGCAAATGGCGTTCGAACGGGGAACGTCGGCGGCGACGGCGGCGACGGCGGCGGCGTGCAGCCGCGATTCCGTCGCGTCGACTAATCTTCGTTATCTCTCTCCGACCGCGTCCACTTCTCTCTCGCTCTCTCTCTCTCTCTCTCTCTCTCTCTCTCTCTCTCTCTTTTACACGGCCCCATCTCGTCTCTCGATTATCTCGCGTGCCCGCGTTACCAAGTTTCGCGATCCGGCCCAGCTAACTAGCTAGCTTGCTTTCCTTCCTCCCTTTCGCCGCGGCGGGAGCCGACGCGACGCGAAAATAGGATCCCGAAGCGGCGATCGAACGACCGTGAGAGCCCGCGACCGTGTAATCGTTTCCAGGAGGATCGATCCTCGCCAATTAACATGGGCGAGGTTGAAGCCGTGTCATAAACCACCGAACGCCGAGCCTGGATATATTCCGGTCGCGTAATCGTCGCGATAACCGCCTTCGCGGAGAAAGACTGACGAAAATCCGAAGACAGAAAAAGAGACAGAGAGAGAGAGAGAGGGTGGGAGAGAGGCGGTTAAAAAGGTCCGCGTACACGCTCGCCGCCCATGACACGTAGAAACTGGGCCAGAACACGGCAGATTGCCGCCTGGATCCGAAGAGAGGTTCGACGATTTTCGGCGGCCAACGGAGTCGCGTTTGGCGAACGGGCAGTTTTCGGGCTCGTCGATAGGGCGGCTCGGCCCAGGAACAAGGCTCGCGGGCCGCGGACCACAGGCCACGGGCCGCATTCGTTCCTAGGCCGATCTTGGCGAGCGCCGCGGGTGCTGTCGTCTTGTATTATCGATTGACGGAGGTTATGTGGTGTCGAGTCACCGGGCCACGACGACCGCCGATAATGGAACGAGAAATTCTATTCTAATCGCATACGCCAACCGATGAATAGAAGAATCTCTTTTACGGCATTCGCGCTTCTTCCTTCCAGCTCTCTTTTATCCTTGAGCATCCCCAGCGCCCCTCTATCCGACCGCTCCCCACCCCTGCCGCGTTATCTCTCTCTCGCTCTCTCTTTTTCTCTCCCTCTCCTACACACACCCTCTCTCTCTCTCTCTCTCTCTCTCTCTCTCTCTCTCTTTCTCTTTCTCTCCTTTTCTACATATACAGGATTCATTCGCACTTCCTCTATTCCTCGATCTCCCTTCGGCCCGTAAAACCGTTTCGCTCGCCCTCCCCCGCTTTCTCGGGTCTATTCTTCACCGTGTACGCGTTCTTTCATCTTGGCAACCCCCTGGCGGAGGCGGAGGAGGAGGATGAAACTGTCGCGAGCAGAGGAGAGCGAGCCGATCGGGGACCGATGTAGAGATGGACGGTGGATGGGTTGGGTCGGGTCGGGTCGTTCAACGAATTCGAAACGAGAGAACCAACTCACCTGTACGCACGGCAGGGTTACACCGTCGTCTGTAGGTACGAAGCGGCGGTGGCCTGTACGGCAGCAACGGTGGTTGAGACGATGTTGTCGTCGAGAACGGCAGTATTGGCAGTGGCGTGACTGACGGCGGCAGCCACAACAGGGTTGACGGTGGCGGCGGCGGCGGCGGTGACGGCAGCGATAATAACGGCAGCGGTGGCGGTGGCGGTGGCGGTGGCGGTGGCTGTGACGACGGTAACGGCGACGGTAGCTGCGACGGCAGCAGCGGCTACGGCGAGGACGTTGTCGGGGACGTTGTACGCGGACGCGGCGGCACTGGCAGCGGCGGCGGCGACAGCGGCAGCGTTTGCGTTTGCGTTTGCGTTTGCGTTTGCGTTTGCGTTTGCGTTTGCGGCAGCGGCACCAGCAGCGTTAGCAACCAAGTCACTTATATCCGAACGATCCGGGGACACCATCTCCTTGCTCGTCCGATCGCGTACACAACCGACGACGATGCCGACGCCCGCACTGGCCACGACGCACTGTGGTCGCGCTACCACGAGTACCATCGTCGTTGTCTCATCGTCATCGCCGTGTCCGAACCACGCTCCAGGGTCGAGGAAACAACGAACGGCCAGAACAGGCCGGAACGAACAGGCGGGTACCGTGCGCCAAGCTCTCTCTCCTCTCTCTCTCCCCGTTACGTTTCCAGTACAGTCCGGCTCGGCTCGGCTCGGCTCGATTCGATACGATACGATGCGATGCGATACGATGCGATACGATTCGACTCGATTCGGTTCGGTTCGTCTCGGTCCGGCCCGGTCCGGTCCGGTCCCGGGGCTAACAATGACTCGAAGAAGGCGGTGGTCGTCCCCCGATCGACTGCACGACACCGATGCTCGATGGCAGGAGACGCCCCAACACGGAGGCACCTAGTTCGACGTATGCCGAGCGACGGCTCACCCCGCGATCCGTCTGCGCTCGACCCAACTCGCGCAGTACCGTAGCCACCTAGGGTGCTGCCCGCCTATCCGACATCCCCGACGCCCCCTACTCCTCCTCCTCCTCCTTCTTTCCCCTCCCTTCCCCCGCCGCGCTCGCGGCACTGCTCGCGGCAGCTCCGCGCTCTGCGCGCCCCTCTCGCCCGCCGGAAACCTCGCCGAACGTCCCCTCGACCGATCGGCTCACCGCGCCGAGCAGCGCCGAGCAGCCGCGGCGCCGTCGTCTCTCCGACGGCCACTTAACCGCCAAATTCTCAACGACTCTCTTTACTAGTAACGCCGATATCTCTTCCTTCGTCGCCGTTACCTCGCAGTCGATCGAACCCGACGATCTCCTGGACCACGACAATTGACGGAAGATTCTCGGCGGATTCTCGGAGCGAAGCGGGTCGATCTCCGCGCATCTGTGCGCCGCGGCGCTTTACAAAATTTATCGTTCCAGGCCGACGTTCTCGCGAGACGTTGCCCGAACAACGACAACGACGACGACGGAGCGGAAGAGAGACGCGGACGGTTTTCGAGTCGGGCGCGCGTGGAAATGCGGTTCGGGATCGCAAGCGTGCCCGCGGCCCGCAAACGTACGGAATTGTTTTAGTCGCGGGCACCGGCGGCCCTTTCGGGTGACCTGAAGCCGTCGGGCACTCGGCGGCAAAGCGGGGGGTTAAGGAAGCCCTTGAAATCAATAGCCAGTCGCTACTGCCGCCGCCACCCTGATCAGGCTGCTCTGCGCTGTACACGCCGCTCCGCCTCCGCACCGCTCCGCTCACCGCCTGTGCCCCCGCCCGCCGCCCCTCCCGTCCCTGATCCTGATTTATCCGCAACTCCTACCTGACCGAGAGTCCTATCCGACTTTAGTTCGCAGTCGAACGTCTCGGTACGAGTATCGTTCGACGGGGTCGATTGAAGGCGGCCACGTGCCGGCGGAGGAGCAGCCGATTTTCCCATCCAGGATCGCCGCCGCACCGTCCCCGATATGCGCTATATATCTATTTTCGCATCGCTGTGCGCATACTGTGTTATTTAAAATAGGCTACACTACCGGGAGAAGGAGGAGCAGGAGGGGGAGAAGGCGGCGGAGTGGGAGGCATCCCGTGGCCCGCGTAGGCACGCCCGATAGTTTCTCCGAGGGAAATATTATTAGTATTCGGCGCGACGCCCGAAGGGGATGGGATGTTAATGAATACAAATATACCGGCGTCGAGTATTCTCTCTCACCACTGTGCTGGAGGGGCTGCTGTTCCCAGATTCGAATTAACTCGCCGCGGACAGTGAAAGCAGGCCGCTTCTTCGACCGCTTCGCAATTTCCAATTAGGATCATCGATCCTCGCGTTCGATCGCGATCACGTTCTACGCCGGCGGGTGGTGCAGCCCTGGGCGACGACCACGAATTGATCCTTCGTTTAGTCGATGCTCTCGCTCTCGTTATTTCCTCGAGTTCTTCTCCGGCATACGGCGGTTCCCTCTGTCTCGCGCGCGCCCATGAACGATCCTTCCCCCACCGCTCCCGATCGGCGGGGAGAAAGTACGCGAGTGCATGTGCACCGAGAAGGTTGCCCGATTATAGCTTGACCTAGACTACTTCGTTTCGCGCAACTACATACGTACGTACGTACCTCTCGGTCCCAAAAAGTCGAGGATTTTATCCGCAGGATCGTCTCCCTCCGCGTCGCTGATCGATTCGTGACTATGTATATCCGTGAGGAACGGTCTCGGCCTGACATTATCGGGCAACCTTCGTGATCATCGATTAATGATATTTAAAAGTGTAACGGTGGTTATCGCCGTGCGTGGGAACGCACGAGTCATCGTTGTCGCGTCGAGATTTTGTGTGCTGTCATTTTTATAAATGCTACACAAACACGATGGAACGATCGTTCTGCGGTACGTTCGATATTATTGTTCATCGTAGAGCAATAACAATAACAATAATAACAATAATAACAATAATAATAATAATAATAATAATAATAATAATAATAATAATAATAATGAATGATCGTTGCAACCGGTTCTACAAGTTTTGCGCAATATTCGGCGGTGTGGCGTTTTTAATTTACAGAATAGCGAGATATCGCCGTGTTTCGTTCGACGAGCCACGTTTCACGGTGGCTTGTCTCAGATCGTTACAATTTGTTTCGGTTACGGTCAACGTCGTAATAATATAGGGTGTCCCGAAAATGTCTCGCAATCCGAAAGTAGGGGATTCCTGAGGTCATTTGAAGCGACTTTTTCCTTAGCGAAAATGCGATCCGCGGCTTCGTTTACGAGTTATTAACGAAAAACGGTGACCAATCAGAGGCGAGATCATTTGGCGCCAGACGGCCGAGCCAATGAGCGGAACCGGGCTTCGTGCACTCGTTGGCTGGCCCGCCGCGCGGCCGCCGAGCTCGCCTCTTATTGGTCAGTGTTTTTCGTTAATAACTCGTAAGCGAAGCCACGGAGAAAATTTTCGCAAAGGAAAAAGTTGCTTCAAATGACCTCAGGAACCTTCCATTTCCGGATTTTCGGGACATTTTCGAGACACCCTGTATAACATCGAAGGCTAAATTCGTGTGTAATAGTTTAGCCAATGATTTTTCCGGCGGAATAAAGGATGCTGTTCGCTGTCGGATAGGCTCTTCTTTTTTTAGCAGCCGGCGAACCCTCGAACCGCTTCCTTAGCGTACCCCCCCCCCCCTCTCTCTCTTTCTCGGTATCCGCGCGAGGAACAGCAACTTACAGCTACGCGTCAGGCATATATTGAACAATCAGTCGTTTACAATATTTATTTGAAAAACTTGCGATACGGAGAAACTCCATTCGGATACATTTCATTTTCGATAATTACAATATTCTCTTATCACGTTATCCACGATGCTTGCTGGATGGGATCCCCTTGCCCCGTTCGGGGTGGGATCAGCTCGAGTAGCAAGCAACACTGACACGCGAGAACAGAAAATGCGAGCGCACCCCCCCCCCCCCCCCCCCCCCCGTGTCCGATACATTGTNGCGCCCCCCCCCCCCCCCCATCTACCGCCGTTACAAAGTTTGTCGGCGGCGGGAGCTCCGGCCGGGTGACATTGAACAAGAGAAAGAGTGCAATAAAAATATCGTAGAACGATGAGATGTTGGAATAGTTTGAATCGAGAGGAAACGGGCGCGCGTCGCGCCGATGCGCCGTGCATCCATCATTCTACCAGTTACTGATTAATAACCATTAAATACATTTGTCAGAAGTATGCTTATAAAATACGGATAATATTCGAAGAGCGGTCTCGATCAGAACCTCGAAGAATGATGAAGAGAGATATCTATAATGATTATATATAAAAATCGATACATTCGATACAAGTATATGAAACATGTGAAACAATGAATGATGTCGTTCGTAAAAGGGTAAACGTTCCGACGGTGCCCGTCTTTTTTTCGTTTCATCATTTCGCAATTTTTACGTACACGCTACAAATTCAACGATCTAATTCTCATAAAATGGAAGTCGTGTAGAGAGGTATTCGAACTATATGGATACGTCAATGAAGCGCGAGTAAAGTTCCTATTGCTGCCTCTAATCCTAAGGCACGGAAATACAAGTAATTCGTGTGTATGCCTGTGTGTTTGTATACACGTGTTTATGTTTAATTAACCGCGCGACATGCTCGACATTAATTATTGTGATGATGGGTAATATATATATATATATATATACATATATTATATATATATATATATATATACATATATATATATATATATATATATAAAAGAAAAACAAAGTATAGTCCGTTTAGAGGTGGAGAAAACTTGAACGGTTTCGTTAATTAAGATGAGATTTCAAGCGATACCATATCCGTGTGTACGCTCTATTGCTCCACTTCCGGAATACACGAACGATCAATGACGAGAAAGGTACGAAATATTAAAAAACGTCCGCCGTGTGACATCCGAGATATCTTTATTTTGAATTTTTATAAGACAAACATAAAGAAATAAAAATACACTGAAGCGTCAAAAATTCGTGATGCAATAAATCGCTTATGTGATATACTATTGCTGATGGATAGAGCCAGCGTATCCAATTTCTGAGTCACGAGAGAACCACTACGATTAATAATCCAGCCAGCCCCCCTCCCCCGCCTGACTATATAAGTTAGACATTAATATATTATCTTAAACTGGATACATTATGTACAATCTTACATCGTGTGATTGTTAAGTACGTTTTTAGTATGTCGAAAGATTAAAAAAAAAAAGAAATTTCATCTCCGTTTCCCTTAATTCTTTCCATTTTGCTTTTTCTCTTTCATGTGTGTGTGTGTGTGTGTGTGTGTGCGTGTGTTTTTTTCTTTTTATACACAGATACAGACATCACTCTGCAAATGAATATGTTCGTTTGAAAGAGTTTATATTTAATAAATTTCGTAATTCCATACATAAATCACTTAGTGGCAACACGTTTTTTTTTTCTTTTTTCGAAGACATCGCCGCAAGCAAACTCGTTAAAGCGAAAATCCTTTCGTAAGAAACGTCGAAACGAAAAGAAATGGATGATCTCGGATGATATTAACGCTTCGTTTTTAATTAATCGATTTAATATTTAAATCATTAATTGTTTACGACACTCACCGACAACAAAAGATTTTTATCGTTAACTTCTGCATTCTATGCTACAGCCTATGCGATGTGATTTCTTAAAAAAGAATTTAGATGTTCAGTCGGTTTACCAAAATATAAGCACACTCCTGCAGCGCGTTTAATTCTATTATTGTAAACCACTACCTGTTCATGTTTATAGTATTTATTATGAACAACCGTGTAATACGATGACTGATTTTGATCTCTCTGATCAGTAAGTGGTACATGGTAGCAGGGGGGCAGGCTAAGAAACACAGGGGAAGAGGGGATGTGCCAAGTTATGCGGTATTGTAACGGCTGCTCAGAACATTTTTCCAAATATATATCCTATTATGCCCATGACAATGGCAATAAGGATGGCATTTGGAGGAAATTGGCTATGATTTCGTGAGATCAAACCTCTAGACGCGACTAAGGTAGTAGCGTCGTTTCCCATTGCTGCATTCTTTAGTAGTAATAAATCCTCCTACAAGCAAAACCCATTCACGTGTTTATTAAATAAGTATATTTCCTGTTTCGCCGAATAACACCTTTTCTATATGTTAAACAACAGTCATTTCTTACCTTCAACTGAATGTTTTCCTGCCTAAGAGTACTTTCTTCTACCCTAAGCTGATTAACTTCTTGTGCCGCTTTCAATAACTTTTCCTCTGCTTCTCCAACAATCTAATGAAATAAGATCGAGACGATCGTGTTACATAATATGTGGCTGACCAAAACAAATAAATCCAAATTGCACTGGTAATTGTTACCTTAGATGATGACTTGCTTCCTACATTTGGTAAAGTTGCTTCCGTTTTAGTCGTTGTGACAGTTGCAGTAGTTTTAGCTCTTGTAGTGGAAATCACAGGATTTTCAAATACACATTTTAATTTAGATTCCATTAGCTGATCCGCGTTCGGGTCTTTCCACTTAGAACATAATTAGAATTATTTATCTATTAACATTATCGGTCAAAGTTTAAGAGACAAGATAATTATTGCGAGCAGAAACATATACAGTTTCTTTCTAATGCGATACAGTGTAAATGTATTATTTACGTACCACCATATCGTACAAGGTGTCATCGTCGTCACCGACTGGAGCTATTAACGATTGTACCATAAATTTATGTTTATTCTTTTCCGTTGGATCAAAATCGAATGGCTGTAGAGTCACTGAAAAATATGGCAACCGAATAAAAATTTCATGTTAATTTGTCTGTTTTGAAAGACATCGTCGAACTGTTAATATTTAGCGTATAATTAATTTTAAACTAACCATATATTTGAGACTTCTTCTTTGGCAAAATCATTCCACTATTAGGACGTACACAATATCTCTTTGGAGCAGTTGTCTTTATTTTAAAATAAACTTTACGATTTGTTGGATTCGTTAATATTATATGCGATGTGACCGCTTCCTGTGAGAATGGGCCTGCAATACAGTATATGATAAATTAACGCTTGAAAGTGCTGCTTGTGTAACATCTTCCACTTGGTCACTCGCTAAAGTGAAAACAAATATATCGTTTGCAAGATTTAATTTTAATAATTCGAAGCAACGGTCTGCGACAAAAATATGGTGAACATGTTTAAAATACGGTAAAAGTTAATGAATAATATATGTAAATAGTAAGTATGTGCACAATGAACCATGTTTTTATGTATGAACGAAATTATTTGCATGAATTTTACCCGGTGCATTTACAAACTGTGAAATATGTACATTTCAATAATTAATTGTAGTAGGTTTAAAACACATTATAGATTTATCAAGGTAAACATGACATTCAACATTTTGCTTATTTCATAATTCGTCTAAAAAGTTGTCATTCTGTAAATGACAAAATAAAAAAAGTTACAAATAAAGAGTTTCCAGTAAGAAAGAACGGTTAAACTACCAGCATTCCCGTATCTACAGCTATTTTTTTAATTTAAATAACAATTTAGATACAGTACTTAGATACGGATTCGTCGAAAACAATTTCGCAAGAAATTGTTACCCGCGAACAATAACAAGGGACATATATTTCCGTTCTTGAAATGCAAAAAGCATACAGTTACGAAATATATTACGCTAATTGTGTTTGATCATTATTCTTTCTCATTTTCTGCCGTGAGCGTATGTACATACAGGGTATTCCATAATTCATAAACTTGAAATGGTAGTGGATTTAGCGTATAAACACAAAAATAATTCCTATAAATATCCGACGTGGTATTTGTTTCGAATTTGGCTTTTGTTTCGCACCGATTGTTTCCGTGCCTCTAAAAAAAAAATTCGTTTGGAATGACTACTTTTTGTCCGAATACATAACTTTGGACGTTGTATCATTGATAAACCGATTCGCTGAGAAGTGTCAGGTGTTGTTTGATATCAGCGTGAAACCACTTCACTACGTTACTGAAATATGCGAACGTTATCTATCGCTTCGTTATAAACCGAAAACTATAAACAACTCCCTCATCGCAAAAACGGGTGTAAATCGGAAGCAAGGTCATGCCGGACATATGTTTATATGAAGATTTTTTCATATTTTTGTACGCTGCCTTTTCCAGCGAAATTATTGTACCAATATTTTATGGAACACCCTTACATGCTATATACATGAAATATGTATACGTACAATCCACATAGATCGTACCTATATATGTGTGTATACATATATAGTATATGTATTATATATATATACATATATACATATACTTATATGTATATATATATAATGTGTGTGCACATAAGTATGAAAAATAAAGCGTACATAATACAACTCGACGAAAATGCTGACTGTATATCTCGTGGAAGATGAGACGTAAGAGGGGAGACTGAGAAGTCAATCATGACTGTACTTAGCTCTGACAGCGAATGACGTATAACGAATGGGGTTAGGTACGGCCGCTAGGGCTGCTCGTATTTACTAAATCGCGTGCATAATCTTATTTAGACATAAACTAGAATGCTATAAAATTGGCCAGCGGAGTGAACCTTACGTCATCTTGACAACGTAGCACACTGTGTGCAGATCGGTGAAACCGAACGATGCGCCTCGTTTTGTCACAAAGCGGAAAAAGATTCGAAGGCAACGGAAGACAAAAGAAAGAAACGTGCTGAGATAATACACACGAAAGAATGATTCGTCGATTAAGCGTACCCTTGAACCGTAGTTCGCTTTCCGGCTCGATAATTAAAACTTGCTCTGGCTTCACCATCCTGCCTGGCAGTCGACCGAATCCTATGGACGATTAGCCGCAACACCTTCGAGTGCGTAAATAAAACAATACAGGACCACGTCTTGACAGGTTAATCAGCGCTCGTTGTGATTTTGTGCAACGGCACCGCTGTGTCTCGCACTCGCTACTTTCCGGGATTCCGTTGGACTAATTCTGATTTTTGCTCCGTATCGAATACGCATGCGTCACGACGGAAATTATGTTATATATATGTATGTACATACAGACATGTACAATCCAAAGTTGCCTCCCGGGAGACAAACCGTGTCCCCACTACTATCTGCCACCGGTGCGGCGGTGGCGGTGCGCAGCGAGTGCAGTCGGCGTCGACACACGGGAATCGTCGCGCGTAATTCAAACCGTCTGCCAAGCTTTTCACTCTTACCCGGTCGTTCTTAATTTTACTATTTGCAAGGACGGTTACAGCATATTTTTCAGCTTTCACGATTAACTTCCGAAGTGTTTTCTTTTTTTATCCGAATGCTAAGTTGGTGTTTGCGTGTTTGAAGCTTCGATGTCGCTTACGACTAGTCTGACATCTGGTATATAAAATTAATAAATACGTATGGTACTGTCACCTCGGTCACGAGAAATTTAGCAATAAAAACGATACGTAAGAAAATATTGGACAGCGATAGCTATCGTAACATTTTACTCCATAGAGCTGGATCATTGGTCGAATGTCGATAACCAATCACATCGCAAAGAATTAAATGTTCTAATTTGATGCTTTAACGTGTTCGTTAAAAAATAATCGGGTGTTTGAAATAACGACGATGATGCAGCAATTATTCATTTAAAAATGTAATAATCGAATTTTTATTCAACAATTCTGATATACATACACAGTATTGTACAGCATTGCCACGAATGGAAATGCAAATAGGATACGTGACGTCATAAAATATCTTGTATGGCGACTACCTCCTACGCTCGTCAACAGATGGACAATTAGTCAACACAGCTTGTAGGGATATTAATTATTATTATTATTATCATTTTTTTGTCTTTGTTTTATATTTGAGCAATTAATAAAACCAAAGAATAAGATGAGATGTAAGTAGAATTTAAAACTACAATAGATGTAAGATAATTTGATGTATGTATGTATAAATTTTATTCAAATAAGAGCAAATAGATTGAATAACCGCGATTAAAAGGTACAAATAGTTTTCTAAGTATGCAAGCTTGGTATTATGAGAGATTTGATATTGTAAAATAGATTAAGAGTGGTTTACGCATACGTTACATATGTAGTTTGTATCAAATTTTAATGTATGTACATACTGCGAATAGAACATGATTGGTCTACGGTCTTATTCGATAAAAGAAAAAGAAAAGAGAATACGGCCTAGGTCGACGCCAGGGAAATATTTCTAAGCGAAGTTGGTGCTTGTTGGTCGCGCCTCTTTTGGAGAAAAAAAGGAAGCTCTGTTCGGGGTCCGTACAGCGCCAATTACAGTAACGGCAAAACGCTCAAACTGTTGACCAAAATCTACTGTTGGAAATTAAATATAGCGGTAAACGCCCGAACTAAATCTCTCCCATATGCACAATGCGGAATTATCTATAAAACAATATTATCGGAGACGAGATAGAAGAGGTTTCAAGTTGAAATATACTGAACACTTATTAAACCCAACACTTAAAGATACTCCTTATTCTAACGAAAGCTTTACAATTTAGTCGCTCACGTGACTAGCGCCAGACGCATTATCGAACGTACCATATCGTGGTGTCAAGGAGGCTTACGTTGCCACGTGCGTGCATATCGACATTGGATAACCAACTATTCGACCACGTGATTCCCTAGCTGTGAATCTGGTGGAAAATGGCATACTAGCGCCAAGTCTCAGATGGTCTTTAACGATGTCGGTATTTCAGAACATGTGACACCAAATTCCATATAGTTTCCTGTCTACTCTGATACCTTGTCTGCGATACTATTTTGCTACTATGGCGCTGTCATATGGTCGAAAGAGAAGTTTGAAATTGGATTCATTCAATCTATACTCGTATGTTCGGATTTTTTGTTAATGCTCACGTATTTTAGCTTTAACAAAAACTGGATTTTGAAAATTAAATATAAAATATACGCAACTATTGCATTAATCAATTTCAACATACGATTCAGTCATATCCTTCATGGTACGTAGCATATAATATGTTTATAACTTTATTAATTAAGAGATGTTCCAATTTGAAATAATTTTGTTTAATATTGTCTGCACGAATAGATAAATTAATATATAATGTTTGTATGAAATTTTCAGATGACAAAGCTAATGGAATGGCTATTTTTTGCAACCATATTCCTTGGTTTGTGGTTCTCTGCAATTACAGGAAACATTAAGTTATCAGTTATTCGAGAATGGCATCAAGTTATAATTTTCTTGCCTCTTATCGCATTGTCCTTATTTGGATCGTATGCAGTTGTTACTGTCCTATATAGAGTTTTTACATTTAACAATTGTGAAAGTGCAGCTGCTGAATTACAGCAAGTAAGTGTAAAAATAAATTAAGGATATTCAATCAATTGCATACAATATTTTTTCAATTAAACATTACTCTCACTTCGTTCTTCCAGCAAATCGAAGAAGCTAAGAAAGATCTTCAGAGCAAAGGTGTACACTTAAAAGGCGAAATTGCTTAAATATTCTTCCACAAAGTCTTATATATGTATCATTTGTACAGATCTTTTAAAAATACTTTATAAGAAATTACCAAAATATTTGTAATAAAAATTTTTATGGTTACAAATAATATTTAATTAATACATCAAAAAAGATCTAGCTTTCGTGCGTTTATTAAATGAAAAATAATGGAGATTGAAGGTGTATAGTGTTTTACTTTAATATTTAAATTTAAAGCATTTATTTATTATGCTACAAATAATATTTGATAAATAACAAAGAATGTGATTTTGCTCGTTAACAGTTCTGTTTCTAGTGTATTATCAATTTTTGGTATTTAACATGTAAAGAAACTTGAATCAAAAAAGTATTTCTTGTAATGTGTACTTCATGCCTTAACTCTTCGTAATAGTGGAAACTCTGAGATAGTTCCCAAACATTACTGCATTAGTAATGGGAGACTTATCCTTATAATGAAATATTAAATTCTGCTAAATATAAACTATGTGTAGTCCATTTGTGTAGGAAGTACAATTTTACATACACGAGTATGCAT